ACTTGTAACACCCCTTTCTATACCCCGAAAAATAAACAATTAAATTATTTAGGCACTTAATAAAAATTCCATCGGAGTATAATTATAACATGGTTTAAAAGAGGCGTGTCACATTATCCATGAAACGAAACATAAATAATACCTGCTCATAAAGATATGTAACAAAAGGGGTAAATCTCAACTAAAAACAAAGCATAGCGCTTAAAACCCACATATCAACATTTAGAATAAAGCGGAAACATCTAAAAATTGAAATCACTTCATTAACATAAGCATCATATACATCATTCAGATTAATTCATTTCATCAGTTAAGTTTACAAAACATACAGCAGCAGATACATACACAGATGTATCACAAAAGAATCAAAACAATTCCTAACTACCCAGTGTTACATATCAGAGCCATCTGACCAAAAGAAATGAAGACTCGCTTCACAAAAGACCTCCAGCATCCTACTCTACAATGCCTCATAGAGCATTATAAAACAGCAGAAGGGCGAGAAACATTATCATAACAAACAATGCATAAAATTATATATATATATATATATATATATATATATATATATATATATATATATATATATATATATATATATATATATATATATATATATATATATATATATATATATATATATATATATATATATATATAACACAATTATAACATACACGCAATTCACATTTCTCACCACAACTTGTCACAATACATCACAATGTACACGTACATAATCAATCACATTCACCAATTCATGCTTCACAATTCATAGCATTTCACTTAAACATTTACAAGTACGTTCATTTAACCAAAACATCATATAAGATGATAATGCAACTCAGAGAGACCGACTCACGACTCTATGCAGATGCAAATGCAGTACCGACTCGTTCAGCAGGTCCAATTGAAAAACCAAAACGAAACCATCGCTCGTTACTGAAGTAACTCCCCGTCGGGCCTACGATGTTCACCCATCGCTCACACCCCACATGGGCACACGATGTTTCAGGATTGCTCACACCCCACACGGGCACACAATCCGGTTGCTCACACCCCACAAGGGCACACAACTGTTCTGCAGATTCTCCATGGAATCAAAATAAACCATCGCTCACACCCCACAAGGGCACACGATCGTTTCTGCATATCCTCCTAGGGATCAAAGTAACCAAACCATCGCTCACACCCCACAAGGGCACACGAGGTTTCTGCAGATCCTACGTGGGATCAGACACACAAGAATGCAATCATGATGCTACACATGCAACACGACTCAATACACTCTTAAAATGCACACATGTTTACAAACATATTCAAGCATTCTTCACATCATACAAGTACATACAATTATGCACATTCACATCAATATCACCATGCAATTCCATTTAATTCGAACAATTGCACAAAATTGCCAAACGGCCACAATACACATTCCACAATTCACAATCTAGGATTCACGCCATACGGCTACCCACAACACAATATAACTCGGCACGATCGATGCCTCGAGCAAGGAAATAATCAAAGTTAAGTCGGAAATCCGACCACGGATGGAAAAATTAAAGAAAACACAACCTGCCACACTCGCTACTCTGCTCTCTTAGCGAGCTCCTAGCGAGTATTCGCTACTTGCTCGCCTAGCAAATAAGCTCGCGAAGACAAACAGAAGCCTCTGACTTCGTTCGCTACCTCACTCGCTCAGCGAACCCCTAGCGAACATTCGCTACCCCCATTCGCTACCAGCGAACACCATAACATGCATTATGTCCAAGTCTGGGACCGTTCGCTACCTATTCGCTACTGCTCGCCTAGCGAACGTTCGCGACCATCTCGCCTAGCGAACGTGCTAGCGAGTGTCTGCGAACTCAGAATTTCCCCACTGTTCTCCACTCCAAAACTCTTGGATTCACCCGATTAAGTCCCAACTCATTCCAGCACTTAAGCCTAACATCACCCGACATAAATGCTACTACTTAATCTCAGTTTTACCAACAAAAACTCGGGTTCTATCGATTAAATCCATATTATGCCCTAGAATGAAAAATGAGTAAAACTCTCCCCAATCCAAAACAAAACCAACAAGAACACACATAATCATACACATTGCAAGAATAATAAAGCTTCACACCCTTACCCGATCAATCGAAAGCTTAGAAGTTTATTCTTGATGATTCTAGGTTTTTCTCCTCTTCCTCCTCTTTTCTCTTCTCTTCCTTTCTTTCTCTTCTTTTTCTTTCCTTTTGGTTTCTATTCTCTCTATTCTTTCTCTTTTCCACTTATACTCTTTCTATTCTATTTCTCTCAAAATAACTACTAATCAAGGATTATCTAAAACACCCTCTAATTAATTCCCAAAACTCTCCAAATAATAAAATACCACAACATACACACATAACATATTATCATATAATTCCACAATAAAATAACAATTAACCAAATAAATTAAAAGACTCAACAAAATAATGGGAAATTTAAAATTGGGGCGTTACAGTACTCATCCAGCATCATCATATGTTCCCGAGACACTCATCCAAAACTTATCAATTGACCCCGGGGAATCCCGCCGTAATCGCTGGAAAACCCACATCCTCATCGGGAAACTTGTCGTGTCCGCCGCAGGAGCTGCCGGAAATAAAAGAAAAAAAAGAAAGGGAAGAAAGGACTTACTTGATACAATAACTTGAGTAGAGGTACGGAGGACTTCACGACGGACGATACGGTGGCAGCGTTTGCACGACGACGTAAGTGTGGAGGAGCAAGAAAGAGGTGTGTTCGTTAGAATTGAGAGCAAAAATATAACGAGGAGGCAGGCCCCAACCTATTTATAAGCCTAGCATGGAACTCGAGGCGCCCATAGACAATTAAGTACCCCTATGACTAGCCTCCCTAGGATGGGCAATAGGCACCAGACACGTGACAACCGTGACTGACTATGTCCCTTCGTTCTCCCTCGAGCTCAGAAGGCTAGCGCCCGATCATCTTTCACCTCCCTGACATGATATTCCGGCGAGCACGACTCTCGACCCCATCATCTGGGCATAGGACCGTCTTCCCTATCTGTCCTCGACATGGCTTATTCTTAAAGTCGTCACTCCTCCGCCTCGGAGCAACGACTTGGGGGCTCCTATTCTGGACTGGGTCGGGACCTGCCCATCAGTCGGGCAGGCCCAACCCAAGACTACGTTGGGGAGACCCAATAAGGCTCAATCCTCTCATGGCGGGAACAAGCCACCTACGTTGAGCAGATGAACCCTTCACGGAAAAACTCACATGTTTCCCCCACATTCTCCACGTGCTCCCCCACACGGAAACACATCATCAAGAAACTACCCACTTCCGAAAGAGTTGGTCAGCCCACCTTTCAAAGATGACAGAGCAGTTGATCTATGGCGAAGACCACGTGCTGGTCTTCACTACGCCACGTAAGCCCTGACAGTTACTTGAGTTGGGCCTAAGAGTCTGACCCAATGCAATGTAATCGTTGGTCCTGCACTGGAGTCTCTCTATAAATACCATCTCTCACTAGAGGGTCAGGTATTCTATTCTCTACACCTACTTCTTTGTATTTGCTCTCTCACTCTGATCTTTTACTCACTTAAGCGTCAGAGTGCCTTGCAGGTACACTCCCTCCTTCTTCCTACCTCTGGTGAAAACTACTATTCAACGACGCGTGACAGATCATTGATCCTTTCTGATCAGGTGAGATCAAATTCAAAATTAGATTAGAATTTTGTAGAATTTACATAAATTTTTTAAATATATTAAATATATTTTATGTTATGATATTATGAAAAGTAAAAATGTAAAAGTGATAAACATTTATTTATTATGAGTTTAATGAAATTTTATAATGTTGTTTAATAAAAATTCATTAATCGGTTATATCATATCGTTAACTTAAAATTTATAGTCTAATATAACAAAATATATGATAGTGATTGATTCACCGTGTAAAATTATTTTATAATATTAGTGAAAATTATATTTTTTAATTTATTATTTTATAAAAAACACAATTGAAAAAATATCATAGATTTTTATGTACTATTAAAATATAGTAGGTTATAAAATAAAATAAACTAATTTGTATCACTCTTTTCTAAGAAGAGATTAATGGCATTGCATTTAAAAGTTAATTTTACACCATCTTTTAATAAACTTATTACATTATATTATAATATATTAATATTTTAAAATTAAATATGTGACTTGATGAAATATATATCTGTAATTAATTAATAATATAAAAATATTTTTACACTACACGTGTATATATTTTTTTCTTTTAGAAAAAGAAATGCATATGAATGTCCAAAATGCATTATCAAAATAATACAATTATACCATTCAAAAAAAATTAATAATCACGTAATGAATTTATGTGGGTGTAAAGAATTAGCATGATTCATTCATTCTTCTATACCAACTATTTCTCTTTTATATTTATATGGGGTTTTCGAAAATACTAAGTATGTACTTCATGATTAACTACTCTTCTTCTCTATACTTTATTTGACAATATATGCTACATAATTAAACATAAATTGATATGGATTGATCTGGGTATATATATATATATATATATATATATATATATATATATATATATATATATATATATATATATATATATATATATATATATATATATATATATATATATATATATATATATATATATATATATATATATATATATATATATATATATATATATATATAAATTAATTCGTTTAGAAATACATAAATCATCAAATAAAAAATAAAAATAATTTTAAAACGAAATACATTTTTTTATCTAATAAAAAAAATTAGATATAAAATGCATGAATTCATTTTACCAGAAAGAAACACAGAAGCTAGAAATAGCAGTTCACTGTTCAGACAAGAAGATCCCCCAGTAACCAAACTTGTTCGGAACTGGAACCTTCTTCCACCGTCAAAGCCAAGCTCCGTCGTCGCTCCCACCGCACAACTCACCAGCAGCATCCGCTGCTATGTTTCTCGTATCTTTTATCTTCAGTGATATTCCTCAAACACTGCAACTTTCAAAACCCTCAAAAATGAAAACTTTCTCCTCAATTCAACCACCCCAGAATCTCCATTCCGCATCATTTTTGTCTTCCACTCCCAAAAGGTATTCTTTTTCTTTTCTTTTCAAACTTCTTTCTATTTTCATGTATCAACACATGCACATCCTTTCGTTTTTGCACATTTCATATCAAAACCTAAATAGTAAGAATCAAGATAGAAAAGGGTTTAATGAGATTGTAAGTTATCTGAATTTGTGGTTGCAAAATAGGATATAATACTGTGTTTATGAAATTATAGTATATGAAATTATGAATGTTTAATTTTGATATTGCAAATTTGTTTACACTATTATTGAAATTTGGGTTTTTCCCTGATATGAAGATTTTGCATCAGGACTCAAGTTCCTTTCTCTGCAAGGGTTTTCTTTTGTCAGGCAAAGTCTGGTATGCTGTTTTGTTTAAGGTTTTATGTAGATGTTGCAGTTGACACGAGGTTTATCTGATAATATACTATTCTAATGAGCATAGACGTTTCATGACGCTTTTTTACTCAGGAACAAACGAGTCGTTAAACGTAAAATTTTTGCCTCGGATGCTATTAGCAGCAGAAAAAGAAGAAGCCAAGGCTGTATTGACCTTGTTTTTGAAGAAACAAGGTTTGAGCAATGCAAATGCAATGAAAACCATCAACAAATCAGATCCTTTTATTGATCACCTTATCTCAAAGCTTCACTCTAAGCATAAAACTTGCTACCTTTCAGGTTCGGTTGCTGCAAATTAATCACGTATATTTCGTAAATTTTCTTTTACGTTGGGTCCTGCTAATCACCGTCTCTTTGACATATTAATCAGGGAGAGAGCTTACAACTCTTGAAATCAGGGATGCAATTATCTCTTATCTTGAATTGCTTTTCGAAGAGCACGGACATATTCTAGTGGATGTAGTGGAAAACTATCCAAACCCACCTGTTAAGGATAAGTCAGACGTGCCGATTCCCCCTCCTAATCCTAGTCCAGCCAAGAAACGTAAAGCCATGTCTCTAGTGAGCGGGCTAGACCCTGCTGCGGGAAATCTTCGTCCTCATTTTGTTTATCTCATGGAACTTGGAATGGAAATTGGCCAGATTAAAACTATTATACGCAAGTACCCAGCTTTCGCGAACTATAGCTTGGATGGTAAAATTAAGCCGGTGGTCGAGTTTTTTCTTGAACTTGGAATGCCAGAAGAACAAATTCTTATTATCCTCATGAAAAGGCCTCAGTTATGTGGAATCAGTCTATCTGAAAATCTTAAGCCGACAATGAAATTCTTGGAATCTTTGGGCGTTGACAAGAAACAATGGGCGAAGGTGATCTACCGCTTCCCGGCCATGCTAACTTATAGCAGGCAGAAGATTAATGAAAGTATAGATTTTCTCCTTGAATTAGGCATCTCCGAAGAGAGCGTTGGTAAGATCTTAACTCGCTTCCCTAATATTGTTTGTTACAATGTAGAGGACAATCTCCGGCCAACAGCTATGTACTTCCGTTCCTTGGGAGTTGATGTTGGCCTTCTTCTATTCAAGTGTCCGCAAAATTTTGGTCTTAGTATTGAGGCTAAGTTAAAGCCTGTAACGGAATTTTTCTTGGAGAGGGGATACACTTTGGAAGAAATTGGGACTATGATTTCGAGATATGCCCGATTGTACACTTTCAGCTTGGCTGGGAGTTTGATGCCAAAATGGGATTTCTTTTTGACTATGGATTACCCTAAATCTGAGCTGGTTAAGTTCCCTAATTTTTTTGGATACAATTTAGAACGACGGATTAAACCGAGATATGCGCGCGTGAAATGTTCTGGGGTGAGACTATTGCTGAATCAGGTTCTTACACTATCAAGCAGCAAATTTGAAGATGTTCTTAAAAAGAAAATGAAGAAACTGCAAATTGATGGTCCTAAAAAGAAAATGAAGAAACTGCAAATTGATGGTCCTAAAAAAAAATGAAGAAATTGCAAATTGATTAGGTCAGGACTCTGTTTATAGCAGCAAGGTTGTTCAATCAGATAACCAAAATTGAGACTTTCAGGCAACGTTTGAGGTCGAAAATGGTCATGACAGCTTTTTTTCTTTCTTTTCGGATCAATGGCATCACAAATTACAACTTTTAATTCATATATACAGTGAAAAGTTGTAGTTATACTGGAACGTAGCTTCAGGATTTGCAGTTCGCTCTCGAAGTTAAGCATTTAAGCTGTTTTGAAGTGCCTTTGGAACATGCTAGCACCTGCAACCATCTTTTTACATGAACAACACTAGTTAACTCTACTTGCCAGTTGTTATTGTATATGTGATTGTGTAATTTGTAAAATAGGCAATTAGAGGATGCAGTTGGTAACATGACACCAGATTTTGATACTGGTTTGTCTTGAAAATGCATTAGTTTCATTTGCAAAAGGGAACAGATAAGGTTGCTCGTAATTTAGCTAAGGTCACCATAAATTATGTTGCTTCTATCTTTGATGATATTCTTACTTGTATTGCTTATCTTATTTCTTATTAAATGAAACAGTCCTATTTTTAGCTATGTAAGTTACAGATCTAAATGATATCTTATTTGAAAGATTATGAAATAACAATCCTTTCTAATTTTGGCTGTGCAAAGCTGTTTTTTGTTTTCACCTTTGTTTTCACAACGATTCACTGGACCGTTTAATCTAGTTTGGAGATCAATTTTGACATTAAGTGGTTCCAGTTCCCTTCCGATCATTTTTTCACCATGGTCCATTGTACAGCCTGAACTATCTAGTTCGGAGTTCGGAGATTAATTCTGACATCAAATGACTTCAGTCTCTTCCGATCGCAGTTGCAAAAGATCGAATCAACGCCAATTGGTTGTGCAAAGCTGTTTTTAGATTTAGAAATTTATCTCAATTGCCCTGTCTAACTAAATTTTTTAAGGGGTAAATTTTACAAGAAAAACATACAAACAACAAAAATTAAAGCAAAAGATGGGAAAGCAAACTGAAATTAATTTACCGTCTATGGACTAGTAAATTGAAAATCACACCTAAAACTACATTTTATGTTTGCAGTGCCTATATATACTACAATAAACAGAAGATTCTTTGGGGAGCAAAGTTGTGGAAGGAAGGAAAATTCACAAATGTATTGTTTCAAGAACTAATGCTTCTTAAAGAGAAACATGTGTCCAAAAAGAAAGAAAAAAACAACAAAAGCAAGCAAAAATGCTAATCACTTGAGGAATCATCGTCTTTCTCTTCGTGATCGGCGACAACTTTCTCTATAAACCTCTTGCGAACACCATCAATGACCGCCTGTCTTGATTCTTCATCTTTGCTCTGGCCATCATTAAGTACAGGATCTGATTGGCAAAGGACCAATGCAACGCCTGATAACAAAATAAGCAAAGAAGTCAACGTGACATACTATATAGGTAGAGTCATTAAATAAAAAAACCAGATTTAGAAGAAAAGTATAATGCAAACATCTCAAGAAAATGTTACTTATACTAATTTCTAATGTAAAATAATGTGTTAGTTAGGACTATAATATCAAATTATTACCGGTGCCGGTGTCGTACTTGGTGTTCATGTTTGTATTCGTGCTTCATAGAAAATGAGATATTTTAAATGTGATACTTAGTTTTAGACGAGGATGGAAGTAAAAGATATGGATGGGAGGGTGGGTGAATGACTGCAATCAAGAGGTTCAAGTTCAATTAGACAAGGTAAAAATTATGTATAAAATATGCTGATATAATTCATATCAGTTTCAGTTTCAATATTACTGTTTCTGTATAGCTTAGTAAATACAAGGGAAAAAGCCAAAAACCCCAACCCAGAGAGAATTCTCTAAACAGTACTAACAAGAACATATTAAGCAGTCAGCATAATACTAGGCACTAATATTATGTAGTTGTGAAAATGAATTCCTTCCCTCAAAACACAAACACAGAATATTTTATTATGCCATAATTAACATAAACCTTTTGGAGATGGATTGTCTGACTTCGACACAGTAAAGGCAGGGTAACGTTCACTCGTTATGATTCGTTAGATTCATCGCACGCCTTCACAAAGTGCCACATTGCCAACTATTTATTTTTACTTAAAATTGAACAATTATTAAAATTAAACAGAAGAGAGAGTGAGACTGTAATGCTCCCCCATTCAATCCTGAGGGCTTGGACATCGGCGCAGCCCGTAGGGTTTCCGATGGTGGCAGAGGTGCATATGCCCCGTATTTTCTCACATTCCCTTCTATCTTCTTGCGTTTTTCATCCTTCTTTTAACCTTCTAACTTCGGTATTTTTAAAGAAAAAAGACAATGGAGCTGCTCTTGTGTAAGAATTGAAAATAGGTATAGTTTTGAGAAAGAAAACTAAATAGTTGAGAAAGAAAACTAAATAGAGGCGTGCCAACAAAAATAGAAACGGTTAAATGTGGTTGGACCTAACACAACCCTACAAAACTGACTTCCATCTTTTTTCACTTCTTTTTCTTCAATTCCTTCTTTACATTAATTCCATTTGTATACATTTATGGATCAGAATCTTCTAGAAAAATGAAAAATATAATATCACTTTTGGTATGGAGCAACCAATTGGACAGCTGCAGGAAAAGCCATTTCTAAATTGGACGCGTTGTCATAATTCCTTCATACTGGTGCCCTCACCGAAAGCAGATAATACTACATATTCTACATATAACCCAAAACGAGGATTCAAGTTAGCAGATCAGCTTTACCTACATGTACAAGAAGCGCGCAAATGACATCAGCACTGCGGCTTCCCCCTTTAATAACCTGAGGTTGGCCACGTAACCTTTTCATCCAAAAGCATGCAACTTTGGATGGCCATATCAGACCACAAAAAATGGACCAGCTTCCTGATTTTCTCAGGCAAGAATACAGTATGAGATTAACCATCTGATTCCTTTCTTTTCCTGTTTGACTTCCGGCTTGCTTTGGTTTTATCTGCGTCCACGGTGATCACCAGTTTCTGTTCTGCTAACGCAGGAGGATCAGAGCTGTCAGTTAAACTTGAACTGGGCAATTTCTCATACATGATGGCTGAATCAAGAGAGTATATTCAAAGAGCAAGGGAAGGTAAAGTAGAAGATTTGGCAGCAGCTGAGAATGATGACCACTACCACCAGTCATTCCTTAAGAACTCTGTCTTAATCATATCCCCCCAGCGCAATTATTGCCTGAATCATCTCATATATAGTCTCTGCAGATTTAACAAATGCACGCCAAGCCTGTCTTCTCTCCAACTGTGCCTTTGATGGTCTTAGAGCAACTCCTGGAGGCGCAGAATATCAAATAGATTAATTAGTCTTTAGTTATCTCAAGATATGAGAAACTTTACCAACTAGTGGTCTCAAGGACGACGAAGGAACCATGCAGCAGCCATAGACTCCCATATCTGAAGCCGGATTACTAAAAGATAACTTTTCATCTCTTTGTTCTCCTAATTTAAATTTACTGGATTTTCCTGTTTCATTGCTTTCATTTGCAGCTAAACTCTGAGTGGATTTCCGTGATTTATTGTCATGGCACATGCCAGCACCATCAGTGTTTTCCTGAGTAACCCGGCTTTCTGAAGCTTTAGAGGCACCACCAACAATGTCATGCCCTTTAGGCAATGTTTGGAATGATAGAATGCGACGGAATGGAGCAGAATGGAATGAAATAATATTATGTTGCATTGTTTGGATTGGTAAAAAGAGAAAGGAATGGAGTGGAACATGATGGAATGCATTCTATCTTATTTCATCAAATATTTCAATTTTCATTCCATCTGATTTGGGGTGTATGCAATGGAATGAACTAATTTGTTCTGTTCCATCCGTTAAATTATAAAAAATACACAAATAATAGAATGAAATCTATGTTCTATTCCGCTCCGCTCCACTCCATTATATTAGAGGTGGCAATGAAATTCATTTAGATAATATTCATCCAATCCATCCAATAACTTATCCATCCAATCCATCCATAAGACAAAAAATAATTTAATGGATTTGATCCAATCCATCCACTAACTCATATGGATGGATTCAATCCATCCATCTCATTTTATAAATCCATTGGATATTATGTTGTCACTTATTAAATTAAGAATTTTTAAATTAATTTTTTGGATGGATGGATATCCATCCATTAGAAATATGTTAATGGATGGATTTGATGAATTTTATCTTTTAATGGATGGATTGGATTAGATTTTTATTAAGAGAGTTTAGTGGATTGTTAATGGATTAATGGATTGCTTTGATTCATCCATTAACAATCTAATCCATATCCATCTAATCCATCCATTTTGCCACCCCTACATTATATCATGTTCCATTTCGCTCTGCTTCATTCTATTCCATCAATCCAAACATAGTCTTAGGGATAAGAATGACGTATAATCACTAAGAAAAGGAGATATGGGAGGAACAAATGATGGAACACCATCTGAACCAATAAGACCAATTTCTCTGACAAGTTTATTGTTGGAATCATCTGTCACAAACTTCAATCATATATCTTCAAAATTAAATGGGCAAGAGGAACCATCATTTGAAAATTTAATCAAATTCAAACTTAGCTTAGAATATTTATTGATTGAGGTTCCAGCTTTTTCTGCATAAGCTCTGAAAAGATATCACGTTTAAAATTCCCTCTTCCTTAAGAAGATCCATTTTTATTTTTATTCTCCCCAAGGCCAGAAGTTCTGCATTACATTTGCCATCATTGTGTACCTCAAATTCAACATCAGACAAAAAGGTTTTATGGCAATACAAGCAATGCTTCCTAGAAGGCCATATGGGTTCTAGGCATTCACACCTACACAACTTTTCATCAATAGTTGTTCTGTTCTTTTTACTTTGCTTCTTCACTACCTCAGCATTATCCAACTCAAAGTAGGGACGGTAATTCTTTTCCAGCAAGGAAGTGGCTTTTGTAAAAAGAGAATTAGATGGTGTATTTCTTGGCACTTGGTCATCAACCTGACATTTAGTGTGTGCATAAACAAACTCTTGAAGTTTATGTTTTGGCACCAGCATAATGGAATCTCTCAGCTCTTTTTCTTTAAGGTCATTATCTGTTAACCAACCCAATAGCTCTTCAATCTCTGAATCAGTTTCATAAGCAATCCACGGTGAACTATTGCCTGAAGCATTAAGTGGTTGCGAACTCAAAGGAGAGCAGTCCTTGATCAGCCTTAACATCTTATAGTTATCCTTCTCAGATAATGCCCAATGCTGCAGAGCAGAAAACTTATCGGCAAATTCTTTCCTAAATGACAATCCTTTACTATGCTGAAGAACAGCACTTGCATCAACAACTATACATGAACGTTCACTGGGATCAATACCTAAAAATTCCCAACAAACAGGGACCTTCGACAGCAGTGATCCTATGCTTGTTATATAATCCTGCAGTAGCGAAATATTATGCTTGACGGCTTTGAGCTCGAGGTGGTGTGGTTCCAACTCATTCATGGCATTTTGGGAAACTTCAACAGGCACGCATTGTCCCTGCTGGTATGACGCAGTGGTAGATACATCCCTTACCTCACGCATTTTGTGTGACGTGGTTTTTTGTTCAGTTTTCAATTTATTTTAAGGACACGTGACACTATTTAAAGCATGTGATTGATTTTTTGGCTTGTAATAGTTGAAAGTTAGACTAATTTTCGCGGCTTAAAGTTAGAGAATCCGTTCCCAAACCTTTTATACTTGAAATAACATTAACAACTGGAAACTATCAAAGAAAGAAAACATGAAAAGTGAAGCTTGCAAGCATCCTAAGAGAAATAAATACCTTCGGGAGTGCATCTTCGCCCAAAACTACTCATACCAACATAATTTCCTTTAACAGCTCCGCTGTTGTATACCAACAAAGTGGGAAGATTACAATCTGGGTAGTTGGGAATGCAATCAGTGGATATTATCTTCACAAATTTTGTTGCAGGATACATTGTAGCCAATTCTTCAATGCATTGCATCAACACCCCACATTCGGCAATCCTGTCAAACAAAATCACATCAGACTTCAGCACAAGAAACATAACAATAATAAAATAAGCAATCACTGCTAAACCATATACCCGTCTTTGTAAAGAATGACAACCACCCAAACATCAGATGGAGCTTGTGAAACCTCTCGAACGAAATCAGATCCTGAAATAGGAGTCACTGACCCAAACCTCAAAACTTTAGCTGCCTCTTGTATCTCAGCTAACCTCTTCTTCCTATCACAGCAAAATTACCTAAATTAAAACATATGAACAGAAAAAATAACAGCATACAAATTTTATTTCTGACAGAAGAATAAGATCATTAAGCTCTTAAATACTAATTTGCTATGAAATATCAAGCTCATGAAAATCCAACTTCACACTTATTCACTTTCTATCATCTCCAAGGCAGACGAAAATGATCCAAAACAGAAAAAACTCAAAAGTTTGAAGCTTTCAAATTCATGAAAGACCTCATCAGATGGAATTTATAACAAAATACTTACTTACAAATTTAAAAAGAATACTGAATCAAAATACTAGAGAATTGTTTTGAAAACCCAAACAGAGTAGTATTTTGAATGATCCTAAAAAAACCTCTCGACTTTCCTTCTCTCCCGCGCAACCACCTTCAGCATCTCCAATGGCCGCTTCTCAGTTCATCCTGATGGTCTCCCTCTCTCTGAAGTATCGTATGCCTATTTCATTCACGCTCTCTCTTGTTTTATTTTCCCATCGTTTTCTTTAATGAAGAAGATTCTAGAAGTGCTTTATTAACATGAACAAGGTATTTAAACTCAAAAATCGAACTTGATTCAATTTTTCATCATAGCAGGGAAAACAAAAACGACCCACATGAAAAAATTGGGAATTCGGAAACCCCAAAATCAGTTTTTTTTTTAAGAAAAACAATAGAAAAATGGTGAGTACCTGTACTCTTGGAGGAAACGATCGTCGTCGAGATCATCTTCGAGTTCTTCAAGTTCATCGTGGGTTTTGGAATCGATCCATGATTTATCTTTGGGAATGGAATCGGGATCGGATGCAGGGGTGAAAGAAGGGGGTTTAAAAGCGGGTGGCTTTGGAGGAAGATTGCCGAGTTTGGCTTGAATATCGTCCCATTGAGTGGAAGCTCCATCTAGATCTTTGTATATGAAGTGATAATCTCCCATTTTCTTCTGAGTTTTTGTTGTTCTTCACAAAATTCAATTCAAATTAGGGATTTTGTGTGTTCTTCTACCCACGTGAATCTTCCAAACTTGTTTTTTTTTTTAGATTTTTAGTTTTGGCTGAGTACTCTTATAAGAGCAACTTTAACGCAGGTTTGTTAAATCAAAATTATTTATAACTTACGTTAGTAATAAGGAATTTGCATTATAGGAGGGCTGACATGGCATCCAAATAAACTAAAATTTAGTTCTCATTAACGTTAACTAGGTCAAACTTATTATAATATTATTTAATATTAATAAAATATTCCAAATATTCCAACAACATTAAATTAAATATTCCAACAACATTAAAATAAGAATATGATATTTGAAAATAGTAATGGTCATATTATCATTTTTTACCTTCTATAAATTTTATAGAAATTTTAATTTTAATTTTTTACCTTCTATAAATTTTATAGAAATTTTAATTTTTTTTACACACAGTTTTACTTTTAAATTTTTTTCTTTCAATTTCCAATCTTATTTATTTATCAAATAGATGTCAACCAATTGAATCCTTATTATAATTATATTCCTATGAAAAATGTAATTTTTATTTTATGTATTATAGCTTACTTCTAATTTTTTTACACACTATTTTTATTTTTATGTATTCCTATGAAAAATTTAATATTATTTTTAAGTTTTTAAGGTAAATTTTATTTAAAAAATTATATGTATTTTAATTAAAATAATTAAATTAATGGTAACTTGAATAAAAAATATAAAATGTGGGGTCAAGTTTTGCTTTCTTATAAACAACCACCGTTAAAGTAAAAACTACTCAAATCAACTATAAATTTTTTAAATCCTACAAATCACTTTGGGTCCACAAAAAGTATCTTAGTTTACCCATTTAGTTTACTCTCACTAAAGATGCTCTAAACAATTAAAATTTTGCTATTAAATGGTGGAAAGAATAATTTTTTTAATTTTTTTTAAATAGATATTATTTTTAAGTAGAAGAATATTCAAAAACTAGCATATGTAGTTAATTGTAACACTGACACGGTATTTTTTTAATAAAAGACGAAAAAATAGTTTGTTATGTTATCGTCACAAATATGATAATTGTACGATGAGGATAAAGCTATTAGTTTGTTGTGCTCTTTACGAACCTCTTATGATGATTTGGTGACCACTCTCACATATGGGAAGGAAACAATCACACTGAATTCTATTTCTTCTACTCTTTTACAACATGCATAACGTCGTCAAAGTGTGGAGAAAGATGGAGGAAGCTCACGTGAAGGTTTATTTGTGAAGGAATGTCAAGATCGTGGCAGAGGCAAGGGCAATGCAGTGAGTTCTAGAAAGAAAAAGAGGTTCAAGTCCAAGGACAGAAAAACAACAGAATATTATGGTTGCAAGCAAATTGGCCAATGGAAGAGAGATTGTCCAAACAATTCAGGAAAGAGCAACTCAACAAATATAGTTCAATCTGATGACTCATATAGTGAAGAGGATTTGTTTTGCGTTTCGTCTATAAAGTGCACTGATGCATGAATTCTTGATTCTGGGTGCTCCTACCATATGATGTTGCACCGGGAATAGTTCAACTCTTTTAAATCAGGTGGTTTTGGTTTTGTCTATTTAGGTGATGGTAAAACTTGTACCATCACTAAAAGGGCAAAATTAAAATTTCTTTGGATGATGGTGGCGTGCACACATTGAGTGAAGTGCATTATGTTCCAGAATTCAGGAAGAATTTGATTTCTATGGGCACTCTTCAAGCAAATGATTATTCATTTCGGTCATATAGAGATAAAGATATCATGAGGGTTAGCAGGGGTGCAATGACAGTGATGACAACGAGGAGGACTCTAGGAAACATTTATAAGTTGTTAGGGGAGTTGTACGTGATGTGGCATTTGTTGAAACTGATAATGATACAACCAAACTGTGGCACATGCATTTGGGTCATCTTAGTGAACATGGGATGATGGAACCGCATAAAAGGAATTTGATGAAGGGTGTTCGCAGTTGCAGAACTCGATTGTGTAAGTATTATGTTCTTGGGAAATAGTGTAGAGTTCAGTTCAAGATCGGGCAACACGAGACCAATGAAATCTTAGATTGTGTCTATTATGATATTTGGGGGCCTACAAAAGAGCCCTCCATTGGAGGTTCCATGTACTTTGTGACATTCATTGGTAATTTTTCTCGTAAGATATGGGTTTATTTCATGAAATATTTAAGGTCTTTTCTAAGTTCAAACAATGAAAGGCGGAGGTTGAGAACCAGACAGAGAAGAAAATAAAGTACTTGCGGTCTGATAATGGAACTGAATACACATACAAGAAGTTCATGCATTTTTGTGAGGAGAATGGAATCTAGTGGAACTTTTCTGTAAGGAGGACACCACAAGAGAATGGTTTTGCAGAGAGGATGATCAAGACTCTGATGGAGAAGGCAAGTTTCTTTCGGTTGAATGTTGGTCTTTCAAAAGGTTTTTGGGCAGCAACATTTAATATGGCATGTTATCTAGTCATTAGATCACCACGGACTTCATTGGATGGCAAAGTTGCAGAGGAGGTGTGGACAGGTAACCCCATTGATCTAAGTAATTTGAGGATTTTTTGGTGTCCAACATATCTGCATATTTCTAGTGAGGATCGATTTAAACTTGACCCCAAGTTAAAACAATGTATCTTTATTGGCTACAATAAAGGTGTGAAGGGATACAAGCTAGAAGATTCAGTTAAGAGGAAGATGGTTGTCAGCAAAGATGTTATATTTGACGAGCAATCACTATTGAAACACTCAGATGTGACAGTTGTGTCAGATATTGATTAGAAAGTTCTAGTCAGGACAAGATTCAGGTGGACATTGAGGAGCCACCAGTAAGTCCAATACATATTATAACCCAACAACAAGATGAACCAGAATCAGATTCAGGTGGAGTACAAGACTATACACTTATGCATGATAGGGAGCCTCATCGTATTACACCTCTAATCAGATATAGGTTTGAAGACTTAGAAGCATATTCTTTTCTTACCAGTTCAGGAGACTCTTCTACCTTTGGGGAGGCTATAGCTAGCCATGAGAAAGATACGTGCACAGGTGCTATGGTGGAGGAGATGGAATCCTTGAAAAAGAATTAGACATGGGATCTTGTTCAGCTGCCACGTGGAAAAAGAGTATTGGTTGTAAGTGGGTATACAATTACAAAGGGGTATTCACGTTAGAAGAGGATTGATTATTATGAGATTTTCAGTCTGGCCGTTAGACATGTTAGACGACGACGATGATCTAGAAGGGGGGTTGAATGGATCACTAATTCCTAAACAGAGTTAGCGCTTAAAAGAAATTTGGTTTTTAAAATTTATGCAGAAGCGGCCGAGAAACTAAGGTCGTCTAAACAAACCATTACTGAAAAGATCGGGTATGCGATAAGCCAAGATGGAATATCGAATCCAATGAGAAAACGAATCAATATTTGAACACCAATCAATATAATTAGATTCACTTAAGGTTGTGCGATTTCCAATGGCTTGATGAAAATTAAACTCAAAATGACAATAGCACAGATGGTTTGTGTGCGATCAATTTGTCGAACACTTGGTGTGCAAAACACCCCAAGTGAAATTCTCTAAGTAATGGTAGTGCAGAACTTTTCCAATTACAATCAAAATGATTGTAATGAGTTTTCAAAATACTTTTCAACACTACACTATACCAAAATTTTTATCGAGCAATTTGATTATACACAAATGTTAACAATTCAGAAATGGAAAAATAGTGAAAGAGAGAACAACACCAAATTTGTTGAGGTAGTTCCCCCTTCGTCCTCACTTGGGGTATATATGCCCTCAATTCTAGAAATAGAATTGAGATCTATATTAACCTGTTGCAAAATTTTATACAAGAGAACCGATAATAATCATAAACTCAAGTCTAGATGTTGATGCTGAAACTATGTCTTCTCTCCCCTTGATTCAAGTTGAATCAAGTGCCTCGAATGTGTTGAATAAACCTCTGATTCCAGCTACTCATCTGAACAACCCAACGATCTTCAAATATTTGTCCCAGATGCTTTCAATCACACACAATTCGAACCCAAATCTTTCTTCCATAATCCTCCGGTTACCGCTACTAGATTTAACGAACCACTCGTTCTTCAATCACCTTTGCTCGGCTGAATCTATGAAGAAATGATTCGTGCAAAAACACCTTAAAACCTCAAGTTTCTTGGAGGACAAAACCCTAACGATTTTATTCAAGAAAAACCCACCTATCTCTCAACCCAAACCCGATACAATATCCTATGTTTGGATGTTACCACATCAATGATGCAGAATGATCAACAAAAATTGTTATGTGTAGTTATTGAGAAAATGCAAGAAAGAGAATGAAGATGATGAGAGAAAATCAGTGTCAATATTCATTTTTCTTGTTGTTTGTGAAAAGCATGAGCCAAAAAGAATATATATGAAGTTAAGACCAAATAACAACCATAAACGTAATTTGAAAATCAAACATATCAAAAAATTAGAGTGATTCGAGCGAACGGTCGTCCTAAGAAAATAGAGGGTCGACCTGAGCACACCTGATTTCATAATTATGCAAAAATTGACTATATGCGTCGACCAGAACAGGTCCGTGCGTCGATGCAAACCTGCCCAAAAATGACAATTTCAAACACTAACATTATGATTCGACCGGAGGGTCGACGCGAGCACACCTGAGAGCAAAAGCTCAAAATCCACATTACATCAGTCGACCTAAGCAGGACTTTGAGTCGACTCAAGCCTTCGAAACTTCCAAAAATGACTTTTTGAGCATGGTTTGGTCTACCTAAACAATATTTATGCACACCTAAGTCTCTTAAAAGGATCAAACACACATAAAACACATATGATGCTCTTCTATATGAATAGACTCGTGTTTTTGAAATATTTGCATGCTCGAGAGAACTACAAATGCAGATGAGACTCGATGATACCGTTCAAAAT